TTTCAACTTTTCAATGTATAAATTTAAAAGTATTTTTTAATCTATGAATAGCCAAAATTTGTAGCAAACTATTATTTGTTGTTATTGAGTGCCGTTGAGTCAGTTCAGACCTATAGCAACCCTGTATAGGATTTCTGAGGAGCCAGCTGGTGAGCTTGAACTGCCAACCTTGCAGTTCAAATGGCTTTGCAGTCTGGCGCATTAGCCCACAGTGCCTTTAACTATTAAATAACTATTAACCATTCAATTAACCAGTCACTCATGCCACTGACAAGTGATGTTCTGCCATATTGTATCCCTTTCATCTTGCTGTTTAACATAAACAAAAATAGTAGCCAGAATTTAAGTCTAAGCTACTTAAAAGTTAGCTGTCCACTGGTTGGCTTTGGAAACAAGAGTTCAGCAAAAATTAACAAACTGTTCTTTAAGAATCAACTGACTAATTTGCAACAAATTGTTTATTACTTTTTAAGTTTTGTTACACATCAGTAAAACTTATTATGTACTATATATGAATATGTTATATATGCATAATTTCCCCCAGAGGACTGATTTTTAAGCATTTCCCAGCATTACTATCATTCTTTACCTTGAGCAAGTCCAAATAGAATTGCTGCAAGTCGACACCAATTCAGCAACTAACAGCAGTGACAACAACATAACAAATTCAGATTAAAAAGGTGTCTCTTGCTTAATTTTATTCTTTTCTTCCTTGTTTTTTTTTCTGTCTTCCCCGTCCTACTTTTCTGTCTCTCCTCCCCATTCCCCTTATTTCTCTCTTCTCTTCCTCTGTTCCTGCCTTCTCACCTTCCCTTCCTTCTTTCCTTAGGTATATTCTTTATTACAAGTCTCAGAATTACCCATTTTGCAAGATTATAAGGAAGAACCAGTGGTGCTTGCCAACCAGTGCTAACTCATTGCATAGTCTGAGTTTGAAAACTTTTTTTGTGATTTTTCAAAACTTTTGTTTTTGTAAAAATAAACCCAGGAAGCCAGAAAATGGCCTGATATTGGTTAAAGAAGAGTACCTTAAAAAATTAAGGGGTAGAAGATGTGTTTCTTTTTTCATTTTTGATTTGCATTACAGTGGCACTGATACAGATTATCAGTGCTGTTTTTGTAGATGTTGGAGATATGAAAACAATGCATCTATTAACAATGCCCCAGGAATTACTTCTTCTGATCGTTTAGTCATTTAGGAATTTATGTTAGCAAGGGTATATTTTAACTAGAATATTCTAGTCAAAAGGAGTTTGGTTGATCAAATTAACAACAATTTGGCAGTTGTTATTGAGTGCTGTCGAATTGGTTCCTATTCATAGCAACCCTTTATAGGGTTTCTGAGAAGAAGCTGGTAAACTTGAACTGCTGACCTTGTAGTTTAAACTGACTTTGCAGTCCAACACATTAACCCACAGCCCCACATCTGGACTCCAAATTAGCAGTAATGATGTTAGTTTTTCTTCTAGGGACATATCTATGTTATTTCTAACCTTTGCAATAACCCATGAGGTTGGTATTGTGATCTGTACTTTACAGATGAGAAACGTAAGCAACTTTTCTATTGTCACATACACCAAAACTGTTTTCTGTTTTCCTTTCAGACTATCTCCAAAGTGTATGCTGTTTTCCAAATACCACACTTTCCTAAGGCTAGTTCTTATTATTAGTGTATTATGTAAAGTAAATATTTCAGCAAAAAAAACTTTTTATATACATATGTACTACTCAAACAATCACAAGTAATTATAATTTCACCAGAAAAAATTATCATGCACTGTGCTTATCTATAAATGTTTTATACTCATTTGATTTTATTTCTGTCCTCATAGCCTTGGTGGAGGACCAGATGATGCAAAAGAAATTATGAGACACAGTTTCTTTTCTGGAGTAAACTGGCAAGATATATATGATAAAAAGGTAGGAGGTGTTTATGGCATAGTGGTTATATATTTTGGTTGCTCTGTTAAAATGAATTTACTGCAGAAAAAGAAAATTTTAAGTGATCAAAATTAGATGAAATAATGACATTTTCCTTTTACCTTGACATTTAAGTGATTCTTGAGCCTGTTAGTATAAAGTTTTAGTCAAAATTTTGACTCCAAGATGCACTTTGATATTTTATTCAATAATGTCAAATGATAGATTTTTCTATGTTTAATTTCAATAATAGTTTGTTAGTTTGGCATTCTTTGTTTCTTTAAAAAATAATGACACACAACAATGTTGTGTTGCTCTTTAGGTAGACTAGCAAAAAAAAAAAATAATCATAGAAATTGTAAATTTTTTCACCCGTGTTTTTAATTTTAAAGTAAAAGCCAGATTTATTTGTGCAAGTCCTTATTTTGAAGTTTTCACCTTTAACAAAGCATTAAAATGTCTTATTTAGAAAGTCTCTATCATGTGAAACAGAACTTTATTGCCCACAAAATGGATTTATTGTTCACAAAAATTATATAACTGTCTTTTTATTGTAATATACATGTTGTTTGCTTTTTAATACTAAAGTTTTTGCTTAAGCTCAGGAGATTATTGTGTCTGTTCCATCCTATTAAAAAAAAACCATATATTAGTCATGATTACTTTTCAACACAAAGCCTGGGTAATCACATTATCCTCAAATTAACAGTTGCGTCAACCTTTTTTTTGCTTTGTTTTTTAATTCTGTGTTTAAGATAGAGTCAGTTTTACTATTTGTATAATTTTGTATTGATATTGTTTACTACTGACCTTTTATTACTTCAAGTATTGCTAGTACCGACATTGGTTTTGATGTTCTGATTTTTAAGTGCTCATGTAAAAAGTATTTTATCATAAAATGTTTATGTAATTGACTTAGAATTTTAATTTATATTGTTTACTTATTCCATTCGTTTAATTTATTCCAGTTTTCCATATTTGTTCTCTGAAATATTTATCAATCAACACAACTTATGTGGTTCCTCTATTGTGCAAAGAATTCTCATCTTTTAACCCCTTAGTAAAGATAGAATGATTGTATTTGCCTTGTAAAGAAGTAATACAAGTACTGTACTACTCTATTGTTTTGAGTGGTATAGGGAGTATGTTAATTGTTTAGATCTTGTAACTAGAAGTTTAAAATAGTTACATTGTGTGTTGAGTCTCCATTCAAAGACTCCATTCAATTAAACTCTCATCTCTTGAGTTCCTGCCATGTGTATGTCATGTGGTAAACATCACAGCCTTGGTGGTGGTGGTGATATGCCGTGGAGTCGATTCCGACTCATAATGAATCTAAATAGGGTTTCCAAGGCTATAAATCTTTATGGGAGCAGAAAGCCTCATTTTTCTCCTGCGGAACAGCTGGTAGTTTCAAACTGCTGACCTTGGAGTTAGTAGCCCGATTCATAACCATTACGCTACCAGAGCTCCTTACAGCCTTAAGTACCTTTATAGAAAGGATGCAACCATTCTTAGATGTTCCAAATGTTTATTGACTTCAGATAGACATTTTTTCCTCTATATTGTGAATTGATTAGAGGTTTACAAAGCAAATTCATGTCCATTAAACATTTCATACATGTTATTCATGTCACTCATTGATTGCCACCCCCAAAATGTAACAGCACTCATCCCACTTTTGCCCTTTGTTTTCCTGTTTCCATTCCTCCTTTCCCAATCCATCCTGCCTTCTGAACCTTGTCCTCAGGCAAATTCTACCCATTTGATCCTGAATGGTTGATTGTTCTAAGGTGTGCTTACCTCCAGAGTGTTACTGTTCACTGTATAGACCTGTCTATTATTTGACTAGGAGCCCTGGTGTGGCTCTGTGAGTTAATGTGCTGGTTTGAACTGCTAGAGTTCAAGTCAGCGGTTCAAGCTCACCAGCTGCTCCTCAGAAACCGTATACAGGTCACTGTGGGCTGAAATCTACTCGACAGCACTTAAAAACAACATTGACTGAAAACTGAGCCACAGGTGTGAGTCACTTTTGGGCCTAGAGGATGATAAGGTCATAGTCTCAGGCATTCCACCAGACTCTATCTGACCAGTAAGCATGTGTTTTATGATTTTAAACTTTGTTCCACATTTTCTTCCTACTGTATCCAGGACTTTCTAATGTGATCCTTTTCAGAGCCCTTGGTAGTGGTCGCTGGGCACCATCTAATTCTGGTCTCAGGATAGTAGAAACTGAGGTTTGAATGATCTGTTAGTCCTTTGGACTAATTGTTTCCATGTAGCCTTGATTTTCTTTACTCTTCTTTGCTCCAGACAAGGAGAGACCAATAGTTGTAGCTTAGATGTTGCTCACTCACCAAAAGAAGATATTGAGCATTTCTTTGTGAAGTATGGTGTGCCAGTTCACCTTGATGTTTCTAAGACTGTGGACTTGAGCCCCTAGGTTAGTCAGCCCATTCTCTCAAGGTTTTGCCTATGGCTAAGAAGTTTCCATCACTTTGCCCCCTGTATGCTCTGCTATATTAATGGATGAATTTGCAGCATATGTAAATACATATGTAGAAATACCCTGTCGAATCTATATATAGTCATAATTATAGTCTCAGTCTCCTTCCCACACCTTATAGATTTTGCTATTGTTACTGCATGATTGTGTTTGTACTAGTATTTACCTCTGTGGCCTTTAACTCTCATATTCCTCCAGTCTCTTCCTGTGCTTGGACCTGTTTGTGCTGACCTCCCCCGATTGCATGTTGCCTTTCCTGTCATCCAAGTTAGTATGTGTCTACCCTCTAGTTAGTGATTTACCCTCTCTTCCCCTCCCACTCTTGGTAGCTATCAAAAAATCTTTCTTTTACTGTGAAAATCTTTTCTTAACTTTGTACAATAGTAGTCTCATACAATATTTACCCTCTCGTGACTAATTTTACTGAGCATAATATCATTGAGGGTCATTTGTGTTAGGCGCTATTTCACAGATTCATTATTATCTTTAACAAAGTTGCATAGCATTCTGTTGTATGTATGTACATTCTTCCATTGATGGTCATTTAGGTTATTTCCATCTTTCATATGGATATTTTAAAATCCATTTTATAATAACACTGAGTATGATTCTATGAGTAGCATAAACCTATAGAATGTCTTCTAATAAGCTTTTGTACTATGATTATCTGAAGGGTTTCCGAGTGATGCACACAGTGCATCTGCTTGACTACTAACCTAAAGGTTGGTGGTTCAAACCACTCAGTGACTCCATAGAAGAAAGTCCTGGCAGTATGCTTCCAAAATATCAGCCAGTGAAAACCCTGTAGAGCACAGGGCTACTCTGACATACCATGGCTCACCATTAGTAGGAATCAACTTACCAACAGTAGGTTTGGTTGAATTTGGTATTGGAGAAGAATATTCAAAGCATGATGGACTCTGTCAGAAGAACAAATTAATCTGCTTTGTAAGAAATGCAACCAGATGCGCCTTAGAAGCCAGGATGGCAAGACGTGGTCGCTCATATTCTGGGCATGTTGTCAGGAGGGAACAGTCCCTAGAGAAGGACATCATGCTTCATAAAATTGGGTCAACAAAAAAGAGGAAGACCGCTCCCCACCCCCAATGACATGGATTGACACAGGGCAGCAGCAATGGGCTCAAGCTTAACATTGGTTGTGAGGATGGCACAGGACCGGGCAGTGTTTCGTTCGGTTGTGTGTGAGTTGGACAGCACCTAACAACAATATTACACCAGTATGCTACCAAAGAGCCTAAAAAAGATCAACACCTTACTTTGTAGCCTTTTGTTGTTAAGTGCTATTGAGTCGGTTCAGACTCATTGTGGTGGTGGTGGTTTAGACTCAGAGTGACCCTTTGTAGGTTTCTAAGGAATGACTGGTGAATTTGAACTGCTGACCTTGCGGTCCAGTGCATTATCCAACAGCACCACACCAGGACTCCGACTTTGTAGCCAAGTTAGTAATATACAGTCATAAATTTTCTTTAGCTCACAAAGCTGTAAACTACAAGTCATTTTTTCTTCAAAACACCTTGTCTGAGGAAGATTCACACAAAACAAAGACCTGTTTCTTTTAGAGTCAAAATGGTTTAGGATATGTATTGGTAATTGTTGTTGTTAAGTGCTGTCGAGTCGTTTCCGACCCATAGCAACATTACTAATGAAATAAGGAAGAAGGCATGAACCTGCTTCAGTCCTGTTGTTGTTACTGTTAACTGCCGTCAAGTCGATTCTAACCCATAGCGACCCTGTATAGGGTTTCCAAGGAGCAGCTAGGGTGAACTTGAACCACCAACCTTGCAGTTCAAATGACTTTGCAGTCTGACACATTAGCCCACAGAACCACACAAGGACTTGAGTCCTGTGATGAGACTAAAATATGCTGCTAAGGTTTCCTTAGCAGTGTTCAGTTATTCATGTAAATGATAATTAGCGTCATTAGAGAACACCATGAGAACCCAGCCCACATATCAGGGAAGAAACTAGGCTTGTGTTAGCTCCACAATACAAGACATGCCCAGAAAAGAGGATGAAGTCTGTGAACCTGTGGTTGGGTCTCATGTGGGTTTATATTATAATCACAGATAAGCCAAACTAGGGTATTGGTGTGATGCTGTAGGATAATCCCTAGACTGTCTCTATGAGTCGGAACCTACTCGACAGCATTTAACACCACCACCAGCAAACCTGATTAACGACATAGTTAAAATTGTAGTGCTTTGGATGGACAGTAAACGTGAAACAATTTACAAAGTCACACAGTTTTATGGATCCTTATGTCTGTAAAATAAAATACGTAACATATTCATAGGAGGGTAATTCATCTCTAAAATCAGATTTTTTATTAGGGTTCTTACTGGTCATGTTTCCATATGTTGTGGCAAATCTAGAGATAAGGAATAGCTAGAGATACTGGTATCTTTAGGAGTAATCTAAATCTTACCCTTGGAAATTTAAATGAACAAGTCTTCATTATGAGTAATATAGTGCA